GTCTCCGGACCTCGGGGATTTCCCCTTCTCTGTTCCCGGGAGAAGAACCAGGAGAATGGGAGAAGGCTTCTGACACTGATCTTGAGAAACTCTGACTCAGGTGGATGCCTCGGGGTGGATTTTGCGGTGGGTTTGGACCCCTGATTTGGAAAGGCTGGCTTGACTCTGGCTGTCGCTTTCTCCCCCTCCAAACCGGGATGTTTACCTGCTCCCTGCTTCTTGGCCCTAGCTCGCGGATAGGCGCAAAATGCCGTCAGCTCCTTGGCTGTGGAGTACGATTAGACGGGAGAGCATATCTACCGAACCCCGCTTAGACGAGAAGCTGATGGTTTTTGGGGTGTCTCCACGGCAGCTGGGAGCCGGCTTCCCAGCCCACCAGAGAGACACACAGTAGCTCCGCTCAAGGGAGTGCGCTAGAAATATCAGTGTGGCCATAGTATCCCAGGCTAGCTAGCTAGTTCCTCCCCAGGGCTCAGGCGGGTTTGGACTTGGCTGGCTGGCCCATGCTGCTACTACTGCCATGCTGCTTTGAGCACAGCACGTGTCTGCTGACCCCGCTGGGTAGGGGACCATACAATATACATACAATACGGTGGGGACTAATTTAGCTATAACTACTCAAGAGAGACATCTTGGGCTATGTCTACACTGGCGGGTTGTTGCGCCAGAAATATGCAAATGAGGCTAAGCGTGGAATATCGCCGAGCCTCATTTGCATACCTAATGAGCCGCCATTTTGCGCTCATTATTTTCAGGAATAACGGCATTGCGCAAGAGGGTTTTTCTTGCGCGCGAAGGGGCAGTGTAGACAGCTCCTTCTGGCGCAAGAGCCTCTTCCGCAAAAATGACGTCTCATTAGGTATGCAAATGAGGCTCGGCGATATTCCACGCTTAGCTTCATTTGCATACTTCTGGTGCAACACCTCGCCAGTGTAGACATAGCAGAGGCGGAGAACATATGGCCCAGGGGCTGGATCTGGCCCCTGGCTTGCCTGGATCTGGCTCCCGATGCTCCTGCACCCTCCCTCCCACCCAGACATCCTAAGCCTGCTTCCTAGCAGCCTGGCTCCCAGACACTGAACCCTAATTCTTACCCCAACCTAAAACCTAGGGAGGGGTCCCCCCACAAAATCTACTAGCCTGGCCCTTCCTAGGCACTGGCTGCACAGGGAATGCCAGGAGTGTCTCACATGTGTGAGGCCCTGGCCACTTTTGTGACGCAGGCTCCTGCCTGCGAGGGGCTGAACTCAGCCCCCTAATGCCCCACACGGGACACCGTGATGGAGCAATCACGGGACTGAGATGATTTCCAGGCACTTCTACCATCCGTCAGGTTAGTGAAGGCAGATTTCACATCCCACATCCAGTCTCCTGTAGTCATTGGATTCAAGTGAATTACACGGCCATGGGCAGATGAGGCCGGGTGGCCCAGTGGGATCTGTGTTGTTCTAGCGCGTCTGCCAGCCTGATGGCTGTAGGAAGTGACGCTAAAGAAGCTAGTAGCGCCCTGTGCTCAAGAGGGTCCTCTGTTTCGGGCTCTCGTTTCCTCTAACCAGGGAGCTCAAAACACTTTTATAAACAGCAACAAACCTCACAGCCCACGAAGAGGTGAGTCCCGCATATCCCCATTTTACAGATGGGTAAAGAGAGGCATAGGAAACTCATGTTCTGTCCCACATTGAGTCAGGAAGAGAACCCAGGAGTCCTAACTGCCAGGCCTGGGCTTTAACCACCAGGCAATGCTACCTCCTGCCAACATTACACTGGTATCTTGATTCGACATAAAGTGCCGCATGTTTTTTTTTTCCCCCTGATCAAACTCTTCCGTTTTTAAGCCGCTCTTGAGTTCTGCCTTTTCAGGCCTCCCAATGGGAAATGTATTTACACTGGAAACATATTTGGCTTCCAATGTCCAAGCACATTCATTAGGAACTGGCTATTCAGCCCCCCTCCTCACGCAAAAGCAGCTGCTGATACGGCGATTGGCAGGACAGAGGTGATAACAGACACACCCCTCTGTTCTCTTCCAAGAGAAGGGGAGAATTGCCCAATCTCCAGGGGAAGGGAACCAGTGCTACATAGTCCTGCATTTTGCTGGGAATTTAGTTTTTAAAGAGAACTTGTGGGGAAAACATCCATTGTGCCATGCTGGGAAGAACAAAGCACAGCTAAGGTGTCTGGTCTCAAAATGACCGCCCAGACCCCGTCACTGCAAGCTACGTTGGGCCATGAGAGCTGGTCTCTTTCCAGAGCAAGGCCCCAAACTAGTGAGCTGCTGGAAGGGCTGGATCATCTACAATTGCTCCCCTGTGTGGCTGGAGATGAGATTGTCCATCCCATACTGGTACCACAGCACCATGAAGCCACATGTGAGTCATCAGCTTGGACCTGTGTCTTTAACTGAAGTATATTCTCCTTGTTTTTCACCAGTCAGCTGCTTTCCTCCACCCCAGAGGTGGCTGCCTTCAGATCCCGATGCCAGTTGATGCCATATACCTGGTGTGAGGAAGGTGTGATAGCTTGTTAGTAGCTGTGCTTTCCAGCCTGGCTGGCTGTGACACCATGAGACTGCTGTTCCGAGCAGACCCCGCTCCCTGGGGCCCGACAGGCGCAGCGGAATGCGAGGCGGTAGCAGGCCAGGGTCCAACTTAAAAGCTCATTTTTAAGGCAGGACTGGGACAGGCGCTGTCTCCGAGCCCTCTGGAAACAGTCGTGGGGAACAATTGCTGTAAGGGGTGGGGGCCGCTGACCCACAGAAAAATCAATCAGGGGCCACACACCAGTGACAAGCAAAGCAAAAAAAAAAAAAAAACCCCACCCCTCACTGATGTGGCCCCTGGCTGATGAGACAGACACTCCCCATGTTCCCCTCGCACACTAGAGCATAGATGGGCCCGGGCTAGTAGATTTTGTGTGTTCCAGCCTCGTGGGGCGGTAGCAGGGGGGATGTGGTGCCAGCGTGGGCTCCCCAATGCTGGTGGGGCCCTGAGCCTCAGGAGCCAGATCCAGGCAAGCCAGGGGCCCACATCCGGTCCCTGAGCCTGAGGTTCCCCACCCCTGCACCACGATGGATAGGTCCTAGCTCGTATGTGTTTGAAGTCAGTGCATGGACGCAAGCCATCGTCAATTTCAAACATTGCTCTGAGCCCTGCTGGGGGGAGGCCACGCAGAGCTCTTTGGGCCCCAGTTTAAAAACATGACGTGGCTCCTCCTTTCTCCCTTGACCTGCTGCCCGTGTGCGTTCAGCCTCAGCTTGGCTCTGGTTGATAAATAAAAGGAGTGCGTGCTGCTTCTATCTTCCTCAGTGCTTAGATCAGGAGTGGAGTACCGCCAGCCCACAGGCCGCACACAGTTCATCAGAGTTAGCTGCTGGTGGGCCGCTTTGTTTACTTAAGTGTCCACTCACAGCTCTCAGTGGCCACGGTTCAAGAAAGTGACGCTCCCTGGGATTCTGGACCAGGATCAGTAACAGGAAAAGTGTACTGTGGAAGTCTGGCGTTCCCTAGTCCTTTGGGTTTGACAAGCCACGGACCGGCCTGGATGAAAGGAGCTTAACAAAACCCCGAGCCACGATGAAGCTAAATACAAAGAGCAGGCAAGGAGGGTCATCAGACTGTGGTGGTGAGCAATGTTCCCTGTAATTTTTCTACCCCCCCTGTGCAGAATACATTTTGTTATGTGCACTCAGGCACGTGCAATAGAAACACATGCTGTGGGAGGCTGTGCTGTGGGCACTCTGCAAATCAGCTGGGCAGCATTTGAATCTCTCTTGAGTGGCCACCCATGCGCCCAGCTTACTGGGATGACTGCTGGTGAGCAAAGCTGGAAATATTTCTCAATCATATCTCTTGGCTGAGGAAAAGGAACAAGAATAACTCCCCGATCACTCCTCAAAACTGGGTTGAGCATTTAATTCCAAGAAAGGACTCTTGCCGTGTTGCCTGCTCTCACAGTTTTATCCCGACTCTCCTGCTATTTGGATATCTGACAATGCACGCACCTTGCCTATTTTGAACGAGGCAAGTTGTGGGCTTCAAAACCATGACCCGAGGCTACTCAAAAGTTTAAACCGCAGAAGGCCGAGTTTGCAGAGTCGGCAGCTAGAAATACCAACCAGTTTCTTGGAGATGAAACCGTTGTGATGACCCACAACGTGGGCGGGCGCTTGGGGCACGAGGCTGAGGCAGGGGTGGGGAGGGGGGGACG